ACCTTTTGTTGGTTGAATACAACAAATTAGCGATTGACATACTTTTTATTGTTAAGTTTTATTTTAATCATTGTTAATCTAACAATGAACTAATGAAAATAATTTGGTTTTTAGTGATGACATCTTAGAAATTAGGACCAATCAATTTTTCCATTCAAACTCATATAAAAACTCAAATATTGCACCATGTGAATCTATTACTAATAAAAGGAGTTCATTAAGGCTTCTCAAAGTGTCTACATCAGATTTCATAAATGCTTTCTCTAACTGCAATGTCATCAAGCTATTTATTTTTTAAAAAAAAACCAAAAAAACTGCCATCTCATCAAGCTATTTAATTTTTTTAAAAGCAAAAGAAATTTTGTTTTTTTAAAAAAAGTTGCGGATAAAAAAAGTTGATTTTTTTTTCTTCTCCATAGACAAAAGCACTTTAATTTTTTTTTAAATAATGATTTTTCTTGGATTTCAAATAAAATGATTTAAATTTACAAAAAAATAAAATGAAATGATTTAAAAGAAACGTAATATTTTTATAATTTACTTATGAGAGCAATGTTCAATTTTTTAATGAGATTTTTTATAAATTTTTGTTCATTTTAAAAATAGATATTAGTTAAAGTAGGAAAGAACTAATTTTGAATACATTAGGAATCTTTATACATAAGCTAGTATTTTTTAAAAATTACAAATATTGGTTTTGGTAAGTTTATGTAATGGTAAAATGTGTTTGGTTTTTAATTTTAGAATAGAAGTATAAAGATATTAGAATCAAAAGTGTTGGGAAAGAGAATAGTAGAGTTAGAAAAAAATAGTTGAGAAAAATGTGAGGTTGCCACATAAGCAGTAAAAAATCTTTTTAATATATAAAAGATTAGTCTCTATACATAATTGAACAATATGCTACTAATCCAATATATAATACAAAATTAGCTTCTACAAGACTACACCTTATATATTTCCTAAATAAATTTTACAAATTACCTACCTTTAAGTTTAATATGTTTACTACACATAATCCCAACTAATCAATCAAACCCAACAACAACAACAAAAATTATTCAAAACAAATCTGTAAAAAAAAAATCCTAGAAGAAAATGAATAAAAAAAATTAGTGAAAACAAATCCAAAGTTTATTTTGGTTTTAAAAAAAATTCAAATGTTGTAAAAACATATTTCTATTACATTCCTCTTTTAAAAATATTTATGTTTCTAAAAAAAAACTAAAAACAATAAGAAACATAGATATTTTTTTAAAAGGGAAAACCCGAAAAAATCGCCATCTATTTTTTATTTGGTCGTTTAATACATGTATTTTTAAAATTGAAATAAAAATACCTCTGTTAACTGTTGTTGTCTTTTAAATTCTTTGTTTTTTAAATTTTGGTAGATTCGTATGTCCGCGTTAACGGCTGTTAACGATGGTAACAGAATTGCTAACTGCAGTTAAAACTTAACATATGGCATTTTTAATCGTATATATACAATTTCTTTTCAAAGTGAAGAATATATTGTCTAAGTGAAGAATATATTGTCTTAGTCTGGTGGTTATACGTAGGTTAAATGGCCTCCTGAGCCTGAGTTCGAATCCACCTTAGTCCCATCTAAATGTTTTTAATTTTTTTTTTTTTTTTAGTTTGACTTTATCATATCCACCGGAATCATCCAGCTCTTTAAGTTCGAGAGAATCAAAGTAAGAAAGAGAAGAATGGAGGTGGTGGAGAGGACGACGGAGATGGCGGAGGAATGATGTACAACGCTTGATTTTGAGATTTTGATTTGATATTTCTAGGGTTTTTACTTTCTTCTCTGTACATACATGTTTAGGATTTGTATCGAAATTAGAATCTACTAAATGAAATTGTGATCTGTTTTCCAGTTCGAATTTGTTTGCTTGTTATGTTGTAGTTCTAATTTCTTTTCTTTTTCCATATAGGAGCTTTAAGTGTTCAGAGATTGAAACATAGATGTTGAAATTTTGATTCTTCTGTTTATTGATTAAAAAGTTTGTCAATTACAAAATTGGGTGAGAAAGTGAGATTCAACAATTGTGAACAAGACAACATCAAAAGCTTAAAGAAAGTTACAGTGAGTATGAAATGAGCTGAAGGTGGGTTCGAAACTTAGGTTCATGAGGCCATTGAACCCACATATAACCACCAAACTAAGACAAAATATTCGTATAGTTGAGAAAAGTAATTGTATATATATGATTGAAAACGTCATAGATTAGTTTTAACTGCAGTTAGTAATTCTGTTACCATCGTTAACAATCGTTAACGCGGAGGTACGATTCTACCAAAATTTCAAAACCAAAGAATTTAAAAGACAACCATAATTTAAAAGATAACAATAATTATCCGAGGTATTTTTATTTTAATTTAAAATTACATGTATTAAACGGCCAAATAAAAAATAAATGACGGGTTTTTTCGGGTTTTTTTTCTCATTTTTAAAATACTAATAGTTAGAAATATACCCAAAGTTTTTTCTAGTGTAGATAAATAGACCAAAATAATTAAATTCAAAAGAGAGGAAGACAAAGCATGTGAAAGATACGTATGAAAATTGACAACAAACACAAAAAAAAAAAAGAAGAGAATCTGCTGAGAAACACGCAAGAAATCAGATGGTGGACCTCACAAACATTTAACTCTTTTTAACCCAACTTTGTTGTTTCGGTCTATCGACGTCATTCCTCTGGGTGTTTGACACGTTTACAATCTCGACAATCACACACGTGTCTCTCTCTGATTGTTTCACAGCCGAGCAAACCAATCAACCAAATTAGAAAGTATCGAGGAAAAAAAAACGGAAAGCTATTTTATTTAGATAAAGAGAAAGGGTATTGAACTAATCATGGTATAGTTTGAATTGTAACATTTTTGTTATAGGATAGACAACTTACGCATTTCACAAACAGAAAACAAAACTATTAGCAAGAAATTCCAAAATATTCTTTTATTTTTTGGCTTGGAATATAAAACAAGTTATCTTGGGTAGTTTGATAAAATATGTCCCGAGTACAAAAACGGCCTTAGTCGTATGAAAGTATTGGGTGATGCTTAATGTTTTGTGTTTCGTGGGACTATTTTTTCTTTGCGTGCCCTTACACATACACAATTTGGCTCTCTTGCAGGTGAAATACTTGATAATGCGACTAGTCTGGACTGGGCGGACATGATTGAGTACCTCATCACTGTCAAGTTCAGTGACATGGATGCTATCAGCATCCGTATGTGCTTCTAAACTACGATCTATTACATATGGAGAGAGAGAGAGAAATGCAAAGATATTCACCATCGGAATTGGACAGATTAGAGACACATGACACACCTTGTTGACAAAACATGATTTGTTTCCTTCGTTTGACCAAAAAAACCAAAAGATTTGTTTCCTTCATGGCTCTACACAAACTAGAAAGTCTCCTTCCACGTTGGTTCGGTGTCCGAGCAATTTAGAGTTTAGCCATATATTTTTATTGTTTTCCTCCTACAGTCCTACTTGTAAATATCTTTTCTGTTGATTAGTAAATTTGAAATTTTAACAAAAAAAAGAAGAAGAAGATAGCGAACCTACAGACAAAGTTCCAATGTAACCTAGGTTTCTTACATTTAAAGAAAAAAAGATTTAAGAAAGGATCATCTATGTAACAAATACCTTGATAGAAAACGTAATTGTAATATTGAACGTATCAATGAGCCTCGTTGATTAAAAGGCAATCTTTCAATAAATCATTTTCTTTTGTGATAAATATATATTTATGAAAACATTAAGGATGAATTTGGTGAACATAGAGGATCATTTTATTTGTTATATCCTTCTTTTTCTTTGCACATAGATGAAAATATATATTAATTAGAAAAAATAGTGTCATGATACAGTGGTTAAGTTAACCAATCTGGTAAAGGAAAACAATTTGAATCAAAAGAAAACTCTAAAGGAGTAAAGAACACTTTTTTTGCTATGACATGTGCTTGTACATTGAAGCTTCTTTTAACATGAATACCTCGATGTTGTTTTAAACTTTGACGTCCAAAAAATGATATAGTTGCATAAGTTGTTTATGTCCAATTATGACCCGTTAGGTATATGTTAACAAGAATTTGGCAGTTCCTCTCGAAAATCACTAATTAGTATCCCATGAATTTGATACTTTCTATGGTCCTTAGCAATAGCTATGCCTTCTGCTTTCAAAGGTGATGATGCATATCGAAGTTTCGCTATGCCCTAACATTTTGTTCGAGCTTGATGATCTAGTACAATCCATTGAACATCTACCTCTTTTGTTCGTGAATAGTATGTCACACTATAATTACATTTGTTTTTTTTTTGTATGAATGTAAAAATTTATTCAAACAAAAAACCATGTTACAATCCTTTTGCATAATGTTTTTGAATTTGAATAGAAAAAAAGAGTGTTGAGTGAGGAAACAGAGCAAGCTAAGGAGAGGTCTTCATGTCCGTGAGTGAAACCAGACCCGAAGCCCGTCTTCTAATGGAGGTGATCATGTGCGTGATCAAGGAAAGAAATGAGCTGGTCCGACGTTTGTGGGATTTCTCCATGCCTTCTTCTATTGCTTTCTCACCACAAGACGTGTATTGATGCTTGGAAGACATATCGAATGAAAAGGGTTGAAGGAAGTTGTGTAATGATGGAGGAGGAGCTTGCGAAGTAACGCCTCTCACACCCGAGATGAGAAACTACATACGAAGAATAGGTGAAATTACATTTGAGCTATTCAACTTGCAGGTTTCTGTATACATTATATCTTTCTCCATACATCGATGCAGGACAAACATTTAGTGTGCATTTGGGGTTTTCTGAGCTCTGAATCTTGTTGTGTCAATTTAAGCCCCAATAATGATTTCTGATTATAACGTTGACCACATGTCCATGCGATTATATCGTTATACATAAGCTTTAAGCCTCAATATACAGTGTTACTTTCTAAGATTTCTCTGCTTTTGCGAATGATTTAGCAACGAACAAATCTCGTCTTTGTGAAAAGGGGAATGATTAGTTTGATCGCCGAGATAATGGCACCTTTAAGTATTAGCTCTATTTGATCATTCTCTTCACTTCCTCCGATCTTCAAAGTCAAGTGAAAGAAAGACTAAGACACCTAAAAGACATAACGTTTTCATTGAAACTACCTAACGAAAACTACTTGCAAAATGTGGAAACTTCCGACATCTCTCTAGCTACCTAAGTCTGATGAGGACTCCAATTTAGAAAACATCATCTAACCTTAAAGGAGCTGCCACGTCCAACACTTTTTCCTTTAAGTCCTTCATCTCTTCCTCAATTTCTCGCATTCGAGTCTCATAAGCTTCTTCGTTCTCCTTCTTTTCTGACACCTCATTCAGTTTCTTCTCCAACCAATCCAACTTAAATCCAGCCTCTTTCATGGATCTTAGTAAACCATATGCACCAGCCAGATCATCCTTTGATATTTCTCGAGGCGGCTGGCGCAAAGTCTCAATCAAACTGAGTAGGACATTCATGTAAGCTGTCTTCACAACCGGGTTCTTTGGACGAAACTCTAATGCAATGTCTGGATGTTTTTCAAAAATACGCTTCACAAATTCTACCTGCAAGTAAAAAAAGTATCCACAAAACTCAATAAAGTCTTGAAATTTCAAAAAAAGTTTGTATCTTTTTTTACCTGTGAAGGAAGAACTTGAAACCCATTAACAACAATGCTTTCGATTATTACTGGAACCTCCCTAATCAGATCTTTAGACACTTCACCATCATTGTTTAGCTTTGTCTTTTTAAAAGGCTGGTTTGATTCTTTAGATACCACTAATTTGTCAAAAATTTCAAGAAACTCAACAACAATCTTGATTTCTCCATCCACCATAAATCCAGCATATTCATCACTAAGTTTCCCAATGGAAAACATGGTTCCACTTCTGAAAACCGAACTCCTTTGATCAAACATGGTTTCTGTTCAAAAAAACACAAAAGACATAACTCAAAACTAGTAAAAAGATATGAGAGTGTAGAAAAAGAATCAAACCTATTCGTTGAGAGAGCATTTCAGAAATTTGATTGATTAGAGTAAATGAAACTTTAGCGTATCTACTCCATCCAGAACCCATTTTTTGAGCAGAATCTTCAGTAACAATCAGAGTTAGAGATAAACAGTCTTTAAAGTTATTTTCTCTGGAATGTGCCACAACACGCCTACAAATAAAAAAACATCACCATTACAAAAACATAAAGACCAATAATATAACCATTACACAACAAGTTGTTGTTCTCACCAGCTGCAACCACCGATCACAAAATAATTCGAAAAAAGCATATCTGAAGTTAAAGAGGAGACATTCTTAATCACCCAAGTGAACTTGTTATCGACTAGATCTCCCATTGAAGACAAAACCCTAAAACCCAAATTCGCAAATCAAACCTTGCTTCTCGTTTCCCCCAAAAGAGAAAAAAAGAAAAGAAGAAGCTTTAGTTCTGGTTCTAGTTCCGCAAAAAAATGTTGTTCTTTACTTTTGTATGGCGGCCCAATGCACTAGTTTGGTCCATTTTACCATTTCGGCCCAATTTCTGTTTCCTTACCTCTACGGCCTAAAGGATTCATGCGCATTCGGTTTAATCGATTCTATTGGATTTTTCGGTTTTTCAAAAATTATGTCGAATTGTTTGTTTGTTTCGGTTTGAGTCGGTTCTCATTTTTTTTTTGGTTCGGTTATAGACTAAAAATTGTGTTCTGAATTGAACCGATTTTTTTTTGTTTATTCGGTTAACCGAAAATAATTTCCATAGACAATTTGCAAGCCCATTAATACGTTACATTATCACCGACACATCATCATCGCCGGCGTTCAACTATCATCATCACCGGCGCTCAAACCACCACACTACAAGAAAACTTGCTTGTAGGCATGAAATTTTTTGTGGCTTTGCCCATAATTTTGTGGCTATTTTGCCAATATCCTCGAAAAGCCACAATTTTTTTTTGTGTCTATAGCGTTGTAGCTATCTGTCAATCGTGGCTATCCGCGGTTAGGTTGCCACAAAATAGTGACAAAATATTTTGTGGAAATTAGACACAAAATAGCCATGTACGAATTCGTATCTATTTTAGCCACAAATTGTAACATAAAATATTGTAGCTATAGCTTTGTAGCTATTTTTAAATTTATGGCTTTTTGTGGTTATCTTAGACATGGATATTGACAAATATAATCGTGGCTAGGTTGTAAATTTGATTAAAAAAAAATATAGAAAATACAGAAACAAAATAAAAACTTCATTTTTATATACATATACATATTCAACGCCGGTGGAGTTACTCTCCGGCACCGCCAGTGGAGTTACTCTCTTTCACCCTCATCGTGAAAGTCACCACTCCATCCTCTAACCACTCCGCCATCAACATCAACTTCTTCTCCGTCTCCTCTTCACTCTTCTCCACCGCCTTCGTTTTCAGCTCGACCTCCACCATCACCGAGGTGTATAGTCTCCTCCTCCGCCTGGAAAAAAAAACAATAATAAGTTTGGTAAAGAAACTGACTTTAAGCAATGAAATCATAATAAAAATCCAAATAAAACCTGAAAATAAAACTCGAACAAGAAAGAAATTTTAAAGAACAAAACTTTTTCCAACGAGCTAACAGAAATAACTCTCAGATCCAAAGAAACAACAAGCATAGGATAAGAAAAATCATGTAGAACCCAAATCTAATCAACAGAAAACTAAGAACCCAGATTATGTAGAGAAAACGAAACCTTCGGGATTAGATCTGAATCTGGATGAAGGATAATGGTCAGAGCTGGAGGGAGATTCGGAGAGTCCTCTCTCTATTGGCACCATTTCTTCAATGATAAGAACACAATCAAGAAAACGAGAAAGAAAAGAGAGAGATTGGAGTTGGAATTTTCTTTAACCTTCACCATAAATTCGATCAGATCTGTTTGAGAAGGAGAGGCAAGCGAAATAGAAGAGAAGTCATAAGTGGAGAAAAGAATCTAGGGTTTCAGATTTATTTGTATAGCCACGAATTCTTCGTCGCTGTTCGTGGCAGCGTCATTTAATATTTTCCACCGACATTCAACCAGAACGAAACTTGCTTTTTCAATTTTGAACAAAAATCATGGAATTTGTATTTTGAAATTCATATAGTATTTAGGATACAAATTTTAGCAAATGAATATTTTTGAAATGTTTTGTAAGTCATAGATTTTGATTTTGGTGTTTATATAATTGGGAAATTAAGAATTATAGTATAGAATTATTTTCTTATTTGTTAATGATTTAGTTATAAATTTCACCTATTAGAATTGAAAATTTTAAAATTTGTTAAAAGTGTTGAAATCGATTTAATTTTGGCTGTATATATAATTTTGTTTAATGTTTGTTTATAATAATTGAAACTAGGATATGACCCGCGGTACACCGCGGTTCAATATTTTTATTAATTTTTCTTTTAATAATTCGAGTATTGGTTGTCTATATTTTAGGTTGTTGTTTGGGTTGATAGAAATTTATTTACTAACGGTTGTGATGATTTATATTGAGTTGTAAGTTTACGATATTAGTAAGTATAGTTTTTGTTTGTCTTCTATATGAGTTACGTAAAAATTATTTGTCTTTTATAGTAACAGTGTAATTTGTTAACGTTGGTAATGGGTGATCATATTCTAATTTTCATTTGAATTTATTTTATAAATTTTACATATTCTATAAAGTTACAGTTTGTAAATAGCTGTTAAAATTTTAAGGTTTGAATTTGAAGTTTAAGATTAAAATTTCGGATTTTGGATTTCGGATTTTGCTCACGGAAATACCACGAAATAAGTAGAAACACAATATGTGACTAATTAGCCATGATAATTAAGTTTATGGCTTTAACACGTTGCTATATAGCCACAAATTAATCTCTTGCTAACTGTTGCTAATAAGCCACAATGAGCCATAAATATTTTTTGTGGCTATTTAGCCACAAAATTGCTACAACATAGCAACAAATGGGCTACGATATCACTTTGTGTCTTGTTTGTGGCTAACATATGATCGCTACAATTTTTTTGTGGCTAATTTATGGCTTTGACCAGTTTTTCTTGTAGTGCCAATCGTAGAGGAAGCAAAAACATAATTAGACAATGATTCGGTTGCTGCATCAGTATTGACCTCTACAGAAGTGAAAACTCGTAATTGGAACTTGTAACAATTTATTGATAAAAGCCACTAAAAAAGTGTACGCAAATTTATGGACTAATTTTGGTTCATCCAAACACAAAAAATATTAACAAAAGAAAAGCCAAACGTTCAAAAGTAACAATATGCATTGCATGTCAAGCAAATACTAACCTAATTGCAGATTTTACTAAGGTCCTAAAATGAAGATTTAGGTAACCTAGTTACTGATTAACTGATCAAAGGGAGGAGATGTTAAGCACTGAGTACGTATTCTCTGATTGCTTAACGATGAATGTCATACAGAGCAGAGACTAGAGCATCATCTTCTCTAGCTCACTACCCTTAGATCTCACGCAGGAGAAATCATACAACATTCAACATAAAAGATCTCTAAACAATGAGATCAGTATTTAAACCCCAAAGCTGTAAACAAGTTTGTTACAGATATTTTTGAGAACTAAAAATATCTTCTTCTTCAAGTAAGCTTCCTTCTCACGTGCCTTATCACTTGCACGTGTCTGCTTCTGCCACTTATGAACTTATCAGGAGAGTGAGACTTCCCTTGTTTGTGGTCCACCCGAACTACTTAAACCAGGTTTGAGTAATGGGCTTTAGTGTATTTAGCCCAATTTACTCCAACGTTTGACATATTCTTTAATTATATGTTTATATTACTAGATGAATTCTCACGCGTTTATTTTGAAAATTGTTAAGATAAAAATATGTTAATTGTTTTTGTTGTTTATTTGTTGTTTGTTATTGTATACTTAATAAAATTAGACTCATCTTATGTACTTACAATTTTTATTGTTAGATTCGTTTTTGACTCTAAATATCAAATTATACATTTTCATGTATAATCTGATTATTTTTATATCTAAGATTCTAGTATTTGTTCATTATCATGAATACACA